TCTCGTTGGCGATACAGCACCAGTGCACCGTTGTAAGGTGAACCCTATCAATGTGTCTGGGAAGCGTAGAATAACATCAATGTACATTAGGTCACAACTGTGCAGTCTCCAGGTACAACAGTAGTTCTACGACCGTTCGAAGTTTCTTGACATACGGTTTGGACGTATGAACTGAGCGACCATCTGATTAAGTAACGAACGAATACATATACATTTGTGAACTATCTTACTAAAAGTGCATACGGTGGCGCAAACAAGGCCAACAGGTGATGGCGCACCACTCGAGGCCAAACTCGTGACCTCTTTGGTTAACGTCTACTGCCCTAACCATTAAGCCACGAGCTCGTTGTCTTGCCACTTTAGATCGGTATATAGTGACATTCGTCGACGAACGTTCACCGACCGCTAACGGAACTCACTTGTCCCGTTTCGCCTTTACCTTGGGCCACATTTCTTGGGCAGCCGTAGTAGCTAGTAGTCTTGGCAGTAGTATTGACTGGCTGCCAACGACTAATACGTCAGAAATGGCCATTCCAGTTTCCCTTGTCTTTGCCGGCGATACTGCCAATGCTACTAACTACTACGGCTGCTGTCAGGGCCTGAGAAATGAGACCCAAGCCATGACAGAGTTGGACAAGTGAGTTCCGATAGCGTTGGCGAACTTTCATCAGCGAGATCACGGATTTGTCGTATTCTGATAACCGAGCTCGTGAAGCCACCCCTAGCTACTTCCATCCGGGAACCGATTGAATTATTTTTTTGAAAAAAAATCCTGTATTTGGTGGTTGTTATTTTGTTGTTTTGATGTACGGTAACACAATAAAGCACCTTGCGTGCAGAGAAGGATACTACTTTAGGGCACAAAAGGCGTTTATGTGGGCAATAAGGCGGCCTTGACCGAATACAGCATGCGTCTTCACACCTACCACATCGTGTTACAGCGACGGCGCAGACACATGAAATCATTGTCGGCATCTTTCCCTTCTCCCTCTCCCTCCCTCGTCCCTTGATAGGACTAGGATTAGATCCCTTGAACTCTGAACTCCCTCAACTTTCACGCCCTTATTTACTGTTTTTTCGATGTTTGAACTTTTGCCACTCTAACTTCCCCTATACTGTTTTAAAAATCTGATAATGAATAATCGAACATGTAAGTTCGCCAAACTCGTCTTCTTGAATCCGTCAGTTCTGTAAAAAGTCAACTCAAAAGTCCGCTTTTTTCGTTCTGCATAGCTAATGTAACCTATTTCCGTCGCTTGACGAGCAGTAAATCACACCACCCTCAAGCAGAATCAGTCTGTTTCGAATTCCGCAGTAATGTACTGTTGTCGACCTTCTAACTGTGACAGAAATTTGTTCGTAGTTTGAAGACTAAGTGCCATTAAAATAATTCAAGGTGATTGATGAAATTTCTTAGAATCCCAATCGTAAATGAGTAGATCAGCAAAAACGGCTGCACAAGCAAATACAAATACAAATACAAAAAAGGTGGTATTAATAAACCATAATCAGCATAGTGCTGAGTAGATTTTAAGTAGCAAAACTAAGCATATACATACCTCGACTCTGCACCCGCGATGGCTTCGATTATGGAACAGGTGTGTACATAGTTACCATCTCTCGGTCGATTAGCATGGTACACTTCAACACTCATAATCAAACTCGGGATATTATTTTTGACGGTTGTAGTTCAAACGTCTGACAACATGTTTTTACGGCATGTATTGCATACATCATGTTTTCTAGTAACATCAGTCTCGTGTGGCTTGCATCCATCGCATCATCCATAACCCGCTGATAACGCTGATTAAATTTTGCTTTTGCATCGCGACCCAGAAATTCAATTAGATTAATTGTTGGAAAATACAAGGCTCGGTTCAGAGTTTTGTCAGGAGTTTTCCCGACCTCTTCATAAAGCCGTATATCAAAGAAAGAACAAACAAAAGGTCATAATCATGTAACAGTTGTGTGGGTCGCAAAGTCAATTGTTATCTCAAATGAAACTAGTTCTCTTCTTTAGTAGTAGTAGTAGTAGCAGCAGCAGCAGTAGTACCAGTACTAGTAATAATAAGGACAGCTTACTAGCAGCAATCTAACATCCCAGAGAGCAACTAAATAAAATACCCTAGAGGTAAACCGATAAAGTCAGAGACAACCTAGAGATAGAGGAGTATCGCATTA